GCACACCCACCCTTGGTAACACTTTGGGTAATTCAAACAGTATTTTCTAAAGGAAGTTTTACTGTGACAGAGTCTGACACATGCACACATTTGAAGTGTAACCTTGCACGCTCTTCTCACTTGATTTCTTCAGGCAGGAGAAGTGGTTCCTTTCCATGCATATTGACAGGTGGTATTTCTCCTTAGAATGACAAATACGGTTGAGGAATCACCAGGTTGGAAACTGAGACTTCCAGGTATAGGGCCGTATTCAATAAATAATAACAACTGGCAACCCTATCAATAAAATGGCAAGTGTGTCGCTGTATGTGTATAATGTTGAGTTGTATTGTTATTTGCATTGCTAAATAATGTATGTTTTTATAGCCATAAATAGGCTACAAATAAACTTTTACAGGGGGAAAATATTTTATTCAAAACTTTGTGTGTGTTTTTCAATCGGTGAAAAGGGGAGATACTCGAACATGTTTCTGTGGAACACAGGAGTGACGAGAACAACCAAAACAAAAAAATTCCTTCCAGTAGCACCTTAAAGACCAACTAAGTTAGTTCTTGGTATGAGCTTTCGTGTGCATGCACACTTCTTCTTCACTTTTCGTGCATGCACACGAAAGCTCATACCAAGAACTAACTTAGTTGGTCTTTAAGGTGCTACTGGAAGGAATTTTTTTGTTTTGACTATGGCAGACCAACACGGCTACCTATCTGTAACGAGAACAACCAAGTTCACTTTGAAATGGGGCTGAGCCAAACATTTTGTTAAGAACTTTCAGCTTGAAATGCAGGAGAGGCTCAGGGTGTGTATGTGACAACTTCGTACAGAACGAAACTCACCAGTACCCCAGCTCGTCTTTTCTGCTGCTGGTGACAATATATTTTTCATAAGCCTGACAGTGATGGTGATAAAGCTGCCAGGGGTGCCAGCAAGGAATATTTTTTACTGAACAGGACCCAGAGCAGGGCAAGGAAATCTCAAGCTAACTCCACTCTCGGCATCCTTACCAAACTACAGTTCCCAGGATTCTTTGAGGGAAGCCATGGCTGTTAAAGTGGTATGATGGTGCTTTAAATGTATGGTGTGAATGTGGCCTGGGGGGTCACTGGGAGCTTCTCAAGGTTTCCTTGATGAGAAGATCCATAATGCTTTTCCAAATGCACAGCTTTCCCCATTGCTATAAGCAATGGCTTCCCACTGCACCCAAAGAAGAGTGTACTAGGACAACAAGGGGGCCTAACAGGCTGGGTCTGTCCTGCATATGACTGAGGAAAGGTCTACCTGTTACATATATGGAGAAGGGGTGAGGAGCCTGCGGCCTACCAGAGGCTCCTGGGCTACAAATCCCTTTGTCCCTGACCACTGGCCACAGCGGCTGGGGCTGATGGGGTCTGGAGTCCAACAACAGCCTCTGGAGAGCCAGACCTTCCTCACCCCTGAGGTAGAAAATTTAGGACATCGGTTCCCAAACTTTTTCAGGCTACACCCTCCCCTCTGGTTCCATAAACTCATCCTCTGTGCCCCTTTAAAGAACATTCAGCATAGCAGTTTGCACAACCCCCTAAGGAAGATAAATAAAAAATCCAGAACAGTAACAATTAATTGCACATTTATTCAAAACCCAGTTAAAACCATTTAGTTCAATTGATTCAACAAAACTGATCAACCTGACCCTCTGGTGCATGTTTTTCAGAGCCTGGTTCCCCCTCCAGCACCCCCTGCCACCCTCTTGCCTCTTAGTGCCCCCTTGGTAATCCCACCACCCCCCAGGGGGCAGTAACGTCCATTTTGGGAACCACTGTTTCAGACAAATGTAATCTGCCGGAACCTAACAGTGGAGACTGGTATTGAATCAGCATTGCAAGAGAACTTAAGATGCATCCCTGTGAGAAAAGGAATCTGATTTGCATATTGGAGCTTCCTTATATTTTCCAGTTGCACAAGTTGTAATAGGTAATTAGTGTATAAAATGCATATATTCATTAGCATGCAAATATGCATTAGATCAGGGAACACTGCTTCGCAAAAAGGTCTGTGCTAGGCCACTGTGTGAACAGGGTGGTGGACGAGTCGGACCATTGATACAGAAGTACGTAAGGGTCTTATTATGCTCTTACGTGTGCAACAAAAACTTGATGGCTGCTTTTCTACAAGTCTGTCTAGGCCGGGGATGGAGAAAACAAAGACATTTTTCGCTTTAGCTCTTCAGTGCTGGGCCATGTCCTCTCCTTTCCCACCGGCCAGGCAGCCATTTTGTGACATTTGGCTACACCACTTTCTCCATATTCCCATCTGAAATCAATATTAGTGTCCTCCAGACAGAAAAGGAGAATTGCTATCCAATTCTGTGGCTGCCATAGTTCCTTATTCTCTGGACCTTAAAAAAAAGTTAGCTGTTTGCCAGGGCAAAGTGCAAGAAAGGGGAAATGAGCCCACATGATGCGTAATGATAGTGTTCAGACAAAGCAAAAGTGGTAAAATGAATTTCCACCACATTCTCACGCATGTAGAACCTGAAAGCGGAAAGGGTCTGTGAACTGACTGTGCCCTCTGAAATTTTATTAGTGCTGGAAAAATTCTTCCAAGTGAGTTGAAGGGCAGGTACATCTTTTAACAGAGACAGGCAGCTGTTGACACAGTGACTGTCTTCTTATGACAAGTCCAAAAAGAGGCCGTTGATGATGAGCAGGTGTATATATTAACTAACAGACCTGTTGGGTAGCTTCATTTGTCAAGGAGGTGGATGTGGCAGCTCCTTGCTCTAGGAAGTACAAATGAGAACCTCTATATATACACACGTATATCACACGCAGACAAGCAGGTTACTCACCACTGCAATGTCTGTGAGTAGGTTGCCTTCTTCAGCCTAGTAACCACTCCAGTCTAGTGAAGCCTGTTGGGAAGCACTCCACATGACCTGACAATCAGCTCTTAGTGGGGTCTTCTGGAGAGCTTTACTCAGGTCTTTGCTGGCACCACCAATCAGCTGATCCCTGCAATCTCCTTTTGGCTCAACCAGGTCTTTACCTGCATCACACCAAAAGTCAGATATGACATCAGTTGTAGGGCAAGTGGGCGTGGTGTGGATAAAATGGCCGGATCTGGAAGTTTGGTGGGCCTGATTAGACCTGCAGACTGGAGGTTCCCTACCCCTGGTGAAGGGTCTGTTTGGGGGCATAAGTTGACTACCTATGCATCACCAAAAACAAGAAAATGCACCAATGAAACAAAGGCAAAAGAGGAAAACAGATTTGCACGAAACCTGTACATGCTAATTTATATGCATAGATGCAAATCAAAAACAATTACTATAAACAGAAATAGTGGAGAAGGCTAGGGCCAGCTGAATCTGGGACCTTCACTGTGCAAAGCAGTTGCTCTACCACTGGGCTTTGGCCCTTCTTTGAAATCCCATTTGCCATAAAACAGGGATTCTCACTCGCACTTCCATCACTGCAAGTCCATCTAAATCCCACTTTGTGATAGATTCATGGCAATGTCAGTTCTGCCCCTCTGAGCAACCTCCTCTCTCCCTGCAAACCACTTAACAACCTTGAGCCTGGATAGCTCAGTTGGTTAGACCATGGTGCTGATAACACCAAGGTTGCAGGTTCAATCCCTGTATGGACCAGCTGCATATTCCTGCATTGCAGGGGGTTGGACTAGATGATCCTCAGGGTCCCTTCCAACTCTACAGTTCTGTGATTCTGTGATTCTGTGATTTTTTGCATCCAAACAAAACTGAGCCCTTTTCCATTTGCTCCTCTTTGCCATGCGGAAGGCAAGGCGCCCTCCAGAACTGGGACGGGGAACCTGTGGCCCTACAGATGTTGCTAGACTTCCAGCAGCCTCAACCAGCATCAGCATCCATGATCAGGGATGCTGGGGGTTGTAGCCCAGTGGTGAGGAACCTCTGACCCACAGACCTAATTTGAGGCTGTTTTCCCAAAGCCATGCCCACCTGCCCTACACCGATGTCACCATGTGCAAGGCAGGTACAGCCACTGCTCCCTGCCCAAAGAAGGCTTGGCAGGCACTGCTGATAAACAAAGCTCTCTTCCTTTGCCTGCACAGTTTGAATTCAAACCATAAAGGCAAAGGAAAATGCTTCACCTGATACGGTGGCATCAGTTAATTGACAGGGGTGGCCCCACCCACCTGCCAATATGGCCCATGGGCATTGGAGAGGCCAAGATTCAGCCTGCTGCCTGCATTCACTTCTCCACCCCATTGTAGCCCAACAATTTCTGGAGGGAACAAAGTCTAGAGACACGCCCCACCTTTTAAATAATATCCAATGCACATATAAAGTGCATGACTTCCTCTCAAATATCCTTGGGAATTGTAGCTCTGCAAGGAGCAAACTACAGTTCTTTGGGAAGTCATGTGCTCTTCCACAAAGACCAAAAATACACTAAGGTGTCACACATTAAAAACTTCCCTGAACAGGGCTGCCTTAAGATGTCTTCTGAATGTCAGGTAGTTGTTTATCTCTTTGACATCTGATGGGAGGGCGTTCCACAGGGCGGGTGCCACTACTGAGAAGGCCCTCTGCCTGGTTCCCTGTAGCTTTGCTTCTCGCAATGAGGGAACTGCCAGAAGGCCCTCTGCGCTGGACCTCAGCGTCTGGGCTGAACGATGGGGGTGGAGACGCTCCTTCAGGTATGTACTGTGTATTGGACGCACTTCAAAAGTATGGTGTGGACCAGATGCAAGTTGTTTTAGGATAATATAAGTGTTCAGAGTATGTAGCTTTCAAACAAGAACTCACATTTTATTTAATATTATTTATTTTACTTTATAACTCAGCTCACCTCAGGCTTACGAATGCATGGATGTTGCTTTTTTAAAAAGCAAACCAAAGTAAAAGGCTGTTTCAAAAGGACATCCTGACATTGTCTTCCCTTGTGGAGGCTTTTCAAAAGGGTTTTTTTTTTATTTTCACCAGTGTGACAGCAGCTTGCGCGACAAGAATTGCAGAAGTTCCGTAGCCACAGGCTGAGGTGCGGAGCCCTGTTTCTGCTGGTTGAGGTAATAGTAAATGAAGAAGAAAAAGGCGACTAGACCAGAAAAACCAGTTCCTGACTTCTCGTGAGGAATGTCAGCAGGAAGTCCCTTATCAGGAAATATGCTTGGCTTGGCTTCAGACTGCTGGATGCTCTGATGCCTCTGGCACATAAGCAAAGAAGACGTCTCCAACGAAGCTCGCTCGATTCCATGTGCTGCAGTGGGGACAGAGTTACCGTATTATCTCTTCAGCCGAGGCAGACAGGGTAGTCCAGGATCACCAGCCTGGAGCCTTCCCAAATTTATTCAGCCAGTGTTGAGGACAGCTAGCTCCGTACCACGACTCTTTGTGCCGTGCTATTAATGAAGGAACTTCTCGTCTTCTGGGCCCTGTGCTCCCTAGTGGGTAAGTAGCCAGCCTTTGACTCCTCTTTATTAAATCCTCTCTTCATGATCTCTGAATCTCTTTAAGCTGTAGCGAGAGTTTACCAAGCAGGCAAACATGATCTCCATGGTTGGTTCTTGCTCCCATTACCTTTGTTTCGAGCTTACGCCCTGGAGTGGCATTGTCATAGCTTCACTTGTTTCAATTGTCACACAGGTAGAAACAGCGTTCATCTATGGCAGCTGGAGCCAGTGGCAGACCTGGGGTGTCAAAATTCAGCAGCGCCTTGTGTGACGCCAAAATTCAGCGCCCCCCACCTCTTGCCTTCCATTATGCAGCATAGTTGCAGCATCTCCTGCTGTGCCCCCGAGGCTCTGCGACCAAGCAAGTCTCACTCCCCTCTATCTACCTCTGACTGGAGCTGCCTATCTTATTTCTCTCTCTCTCCTTTTATTTTCTTTATTTCGATTGTCCTTTTCCCTTCTTTTCTATTCCTAATTTTATTGTATTATGGAAATTTTTAAAATAAAGAAATCTTACTAATCTTAACTTTATATGGGTTTGAAGGTATGGCATGTACTAAGCCTAGGATTTCAGTCCTAAAGAGGAAAGTTTTCCTCTCAACAGATAGGTGGTCTCCAACCTATCTGGGGCGCTGGGGGGGGGAGCAAAACAGAAAGCTGAAATGAAATCAAAGTATTTCTTAGGTCTTTTCACTACACTGTCAAAGCAGGAGTCCAAGCTGGGAGTTGTTTTTCCTTTTCTCTCCATGGGAGGTTTTGCCCTTTGAATAGGGAGAGATGTGGGCTAGACTCTAATTCTCATCCTTATTGCAATTTGCTGCTTGTGAGACTCTGATGGTGTACACAACACACTTTTAAAGCACACACACAACCAAGAATCCTGGTAATAGAAGCTGGACTTGTTGAGAGAGTGGGCTTTGAGGAGGTCCTCTTGCCCATAGGAACTGCAAAACCTGGAGCCAACACCAGGGATGCCAATTTGAACAAAATATTTGGGGTAAGCCCTGCCCCACATAATCGATCACAAGACGCGGTACACGCACACCATTAGAATGGCAATGCCCATCCACTTTGGGGGCCCCAGACCCCTAGGAGTTGACTCCTACAGCCAACACCCAGCACGGCAGTTTGCATCGCTGCCATGAGGCGAGGGTAATGAGGTAGGGGAAATCCCAGCTGCATATTTTTTACTTCTACAATTCTAAAAAACAATTGTAAACCTTTTAAACAATGTGGGTCTGTATTTCCTGATCACTGTTGCCAAAACACTGCTCAGCTGAGAATGCTTGACAGGTTTAAGGCAATAGCCGGCTCCCCACCTGAAACTGTTGTTTGTTTGTTTATGGGGCAGAGAGCCCATTTCAGCCCAAGGCAGCCTTTTGAAGGGCTACATGCAAATGGTGGGCGGGGCTAGAGGCAAAAGTGAGCAAAGCAATGAGTGTAAATGCTACCTTTGTACAGCAAGCTAGTTTCTACGCACATATCTCTCCCTATCCTCCACCTACTCCAAGGAAACTTTCCAGTGAGGCAAAAACCCTCAAGGAGGGGGCAAAGCAAGGCCTGAGAGGGCCAGGTAAAGTGGTATGGAGTCCCCACTGGCCTGAGTTTTATTGCATTTCAACACCACCCTTCCACCTACAAAACCCCAGACCAACGTACAGCAATACTGCAACAAAAAGCAGCAAATAAAATTCTCTAAAATAGGGGTTCTCAAACTGAGGGGAATTTCGTTCTGCATTTGTTCTGTGCTCCCACTGCCGGTTTGGGAAGTGGTGCACACATGACATTAGCCACAAACATTAAGGTCGGTAATAAATGTTATCATTATCCATATCTATCCTATCATTTCTTATGAAATACTGTATGGGGAAAAAATAGAGATGGGGAATAAATTTGATTCAGTTCACATTGATAGCTGATTCTATGAAATTTGCATTTTCCTAAAACAATATGAGAACTAAAACAGGGTAGTTCGTTGAAATTCGCAAATATCAGAATTTTGCAATACAGTTCTCCAACCACAGATGGTTTTTAAATATATATATTAAGGGAAACTTTGCAAAAATATATATCAATATATTAGTTAAAATAATATACTAGATGCATTATATTGTGAGGAATATATTGTTAGTTAAAACTGCATGGAAAAATATATCTATTTGCAGAATTACACGTAAACATACTGGAGAATTTTCATGCGGATTTTTGACCCCCCCAAAAATCCACCATTGTTGAAAAAATGTAGAAAACTGTATTTAAATTTTGAGAAATGAGAAACTGAGAGAGCCAAAATGGATGGATCCTTTCACCCCTTGTTTCAATGTGTCATTGTCCCTACCACCACCACATGCAACCAGCTTTAGTCTGAACTGAGAAAAAGAATGACCCTAGCTGCCTTTTAAGTTGATAAGATATACACAGCCTAAGTACAGAGACTGCACTTTCTACGGTTAACCTCTAATAATCTTTACCCTTCATTGTAGGGAATTCACTTGCAGAGAGATCACCACTCATTCAACAACCAATCTTTTTGTCCACAAACTTTGAAAATATCTTCACTTGGAAGAGCTGGGGAGAGCCACTTCCAGGCACAGTGTACGATGTGCAGTATAAGAAGTAAGAGGACTATTCCTTCTCCTTACTTGGGGTGACTGTTATTCTTTGAACCCACAGATATCTCAGATAGGGAGAAAAATACTTTGCTGTAGAAATAGCATTGTGTCAGGTCCAAGGAAGAAACAGACCCCGGCCCAGCCCAAGACATTTTGCTGCCCGGGACAACAGGCAAGATGATGTGTCCTCCCCATTCTAGAAACAGAAGCCAATTGGACTTTTCAGTACTGTCAATGGGACAGCGTCCTATGCCACATTTGATTGGAGCAAGTACATATGGAGAAACACAGCTCTGTCCTGTAAGAGAAGGGGACAGTTGGGGGGGCTTAGAAGGCGACTGCCATTGTTGGCCCCACGCCCCAGTATCTACCATCTGAAATGATAAACTTATTCTGCCTAATGGTTGAGGCAGCTCTGGATACGGCCATATTTTGAGGCTGTTGTGTAGCTTTAGGTTCTCACTAATGGGCGTTGACAGCCCCAGTTATTACATTTATAAGGAGCTCAATGTGCTGTAACTGGCCCAAGGTCACACAGAGAGCTTGATAACTAAGTCACTGACGGAGGAAGAGGAATGCGGGGGAGCACACCGCCCACGTCAGCGCGATCCCAGCCGGGTGCCATCACGGCTGCCCCCCGCCCACGCAGGGCACCACGCCCCTGTAGGTGGTGTGCCCCGCCCCCCAGGATATGCACCAGCCCCTCCCCCACCTGCTCTCCGCCCCGCAGTGCTGGAGCACAGAGCTCTGCCACTGAACTGAGTATGGGTGTGGACCCCTGTCTCCAGCGCTCCAACCACTGCACCACACTGCTTGCCTTGTACCAGTATCGCAATGTGAATACTCCCAGTGCAAGGAATTCAGGTCACACCTACGTGGCAGGGTGCAGAAATAGTTTTGCCATTTGGAATGCAACTGGCAAATGAGAGGCAGCCTTGTGGAGCTGCAATGCCACTGTAGCTGTGGGAGGAACTGGTGCTGCTTGCAAGACTTGCTTGCTTCCCCTTGCTCAGCATGCGTGCGTGTAAGCAAACATAGAAGTACACACATTCACCAATCTGTTTTCCATGGATTTATGCATGGTGTTTAGTGGTTCTGACAAAGGACTCAGCTACATTAGAAAACCAACAGTGTTTTAAATGTTTTATAAATATGTAACACCAGATGCTGCTGTAGAGCAGAAAACTTTGTCTATGCAATTTTACATAGAGGTTTTTTTTTGTTATAACAACTGAATTCATGGCTTATTTATAGTGTTCCCCCCCATGTATAGATTCATCCCCAGTCAAGTGCTCTTGCATAGAGCCCTTGGGCATTATCCGTTTTGTTGGTTTGTTAAAACCCAACTAATTCTACACTATATTTCTGCAATATATATATATATATATATATATATATATATATATATATACCGAACAGTGGTACCTTGGTTTACAACCATAATCCATTCTGGAGGTCTGTTTGTAAACCAAAACAGGTTGTAACCCAAGGTGCACTTTTGCCAATAATCCCCCCCAAAAACTTCCGGGTTTGACGTGTTTGTAATCCAAAACGTACGCAAACCAAGACGTATGCAAGCCAAGGTACCACTGTACTATATTTCTGCAACATAATTATATAAGTATTAATGCAAAGTACTCTTTTATACACATTGTTGTAGGTATCTGTTTATGTGCTGGTAACTTTAGGAAACTTGGGGTATACATATATGTGCATAAAATGCATATTATAATAATGCATAAAATATGCAAGAATTATTCCTATTCTGGCAGAACAGATAAAAAAAGTGCTCTCTTTTCATCATGCATGCCCATGATACAGTCCACTTCATGCTGTTGCACAAGTAGACCCAATCTGAATGTTTTCCAATAACTGTAAAATGAGCAAAGACATATCTAACTCAGATGACTGGGTAGGGGTGTCGTGTAAACAAATCCTCCTGATGACAGCTTTCACCCAATTTGCTTCCATCACATTGCTGAGATAGCTGCTGTCCCCCTGAACTGCATCGTTCTTTAGATTTTCCTCTGTTGCACAAGCTGGAGAACTTGGCACCCAGACACTTTTCTCCTTTGATCTTTCCAGTAAACATAACCCTCTGGTTGCAATCCATGGATGGGTTATGAAATTCTCATTAAACCTTAATATCTAAATTGAATATTCATTGTAGCAATTAAGCTAAAGAGAGGAGGGGGGGGATATGCAGATAAATTACACCACTGCCTGCTTTCAAGATGCAAAACAGGGAGGAAAAGAGATCCCTGGATTTGATTTGAAGGGCACCAGATAGCTTGAGAGCCACACACACACACACACACACACACACACACACACACTTTCAGGGAACACCCACCAAGACATAATGAATAGATGACTGATGAAGAGATTGGCGACAATGAAAACATATTTATGGCTTTCGCAGTAGGTGACACGATCTCTTTAAAAACTTGCCCTCCTCTTCCACAAGCGTATTTACCCACAAAGCCTTTCGCAAACTTGGTAGCAGACAGTTGCAGTAAGTCTTGTCATCTTTCCATTCTGTCAACCCATGAAATTGCTGGCAGAAAGTCTGGAGGAGGAGGAGGAGGAGTTGGGTTATTCCTCTAATCCTGCTGTTGCTGCTTTGCTAAAGCTGCAATCCAAATGCTAATAACACAGAAGTAAACACTGAACCCAGTAGGACTTAAATGTAAGCAGACATGATTAGGATTGCACTGTAGGGTGGTGACTTTTTACAAAAACTCCTCACCTGAAACCTTGTTTGCTGACAAAGGCTTTTGGAAAGTTGGGAGGAAGTTACAGTCCGTGCATCTCTGGCCTATAGGGACACCTGGTCTCCTCTTAACTGCAGCCTTGTTTTGCTCACAGGGGCTTTTAGAAAGTTGGGAGGAGGAGGAATTCCATTCAGTTCTCATTTTAAAGTGAAACTACCCAATTTGCACTTTCAAAAAACAATATGAGAACCAAAACCCATCCAATGAAATCCATATTTCTCCCAATTTTGCAACAATGTTTCGCAAAAATGCATTATGTTAGGGGAAAGTGTATAAAACACATAACACATAAAAACACATATATTCATGAAAAGAACATATAAATGTGTGTTCTATTGGGGGAAATTGCTCACAGAAATGAGTCCGTTAATCAAAACCGCACACAAACATGTTTGTTAGGAGAAATTTGCACTAAAATCCTGACAACTTTTCATGGCGAAAAATTGTAAGCTGCTGCAGCAATGTAGAGAACTGGATCAAAGACTGGGAAAATTAGAAACTGAGTTCCATCCCTCCATCCCTACCATCAGGTCAAATATGGCAGGCAAGGTATACTGCATGACAACTTAGTGTCAGCGTAGCCCGCATGGTGCCCTCCAGATGTTGCAGCCAGCATGCCCAATAGCTAGGGATAATGGGAGTTGTAATCCAAAGACTCTGTTGGCTGCCTCTGCCTTAGTGAAACACCCACCCCTTTGCCCAGGCCTTATGCCTTCTACGACGGTAAAGAAATGCACTTGGTGCCATCACTGCATTGTTTTCACTGTGCACTGAAGCAGTCTACCCTGGCCTTCTGACATATATATATTTTAGGACCTACTCAATTTCCCTTTCTATTTTTCCATATACTTTTCTGGCATTTTCTTCAATGCAAATACTTTTAACCGGTTTTAATGTCATTGGTTTTTTTGTTTTTTGCGCTGCTGCAACCCAGCCTGGGACTCTGCAGCAAAGGGCAGCTAAGAAATTGGATAGCCGAATAACTAAAATGGTGACAAGCTGGCACCCCAAGAGAGAGAGCCTTCCCCGTTCTACATATTTGGCATGCCTCATTCAAGGGAGGAATATGAGAGGAGCCACTCCTCCTGCACCAAGGGTGATGAAACAAACAAAATGATGGGCTATTATGATGGGTGGAGGCTGTCTGGAAGGAGGGCCTGCACAGAGGTGCCCTGTGCCCTTTTTTGTATTCTTGCATTGCACCCCATCCATGAGATTCCTACTGACAAAGGCCACCAGCTACCAGAGTGGTGGGGAAGTATGCTCTTCTTCCTCACATTATTGTCATTGTTTATTGAGTTTATGGCCAACGTAAGGCAGTGGCTCAATGCATGCAGAAACAGGTACAATCCCTGACATTTCCAGACTGCACCTAGAGAGACCTCGGTCTGAAATCCAGGAGAACTGATGCCAGTGAGTGTAGGCGAGACTGAACTAGATGGACCCAAGGTCTGATTCAGTGTAACATGACATCCTCTGCTCTTTTCATCCAGTGCTTTACCAACTGCACTGGCTCCCAGTGGAGTACAAGGTGCTGGTTTTGACCTTTAAAGCCCTATGCGGCCTAGGACCCACATACCTACGGGACCGCCTCTCCTGGTATGCCCCACAAAGGACCTTAAGGTCCACAAATGACAACATTTTGGAGGTCCCAGGTCATAAGGTGGCTAGATTGGTCTCAACTAGGGCCAGGGCCTTTTCAGTACTGGCCCCGACTTGGTGGAACGCTCTGTCACAAGAGACTAGGGCCCTGTGGGACTTGACATCTTTCTGCAAGGCCTGCAAGACAGAGCTGTTCCACCTGGCCTTTGGTTTGGACTCAGTCTGACCCTTATGTTTCCCTCCCTTTATGGTTTTGATTTATGGGCTACTTTTAAAATGAGGCTGCATTTTAAATTGCATTTTAGCCTGTATTTTAAATTGGTTTTCCCCCCTATTGCGTTTTTACTGCAATTTTACTGGCATTAGCTGCCCTGAGCTGGACTCTGGCCGGGGAGGGAGGTATAAATAAATATTATTATTATTATTATTATTATTATTATTATTATTATTACAGTGGTGCCTTGCCAGACGAAATTAATTCGTTCCGCGAGTTTTTTTGTCTAGCGAATTTTTCGTCTTGCGAAGCACGGTGTCGGGAAAGTTTTGGAAAAGCTTCAAAAATCACCAAAGTCTTCAAAAACCTCAAAAAAAGGCTACCACACCGCGTTCTATGAGTTGCTCCTCGAAGTCAAGTCGCAACTGTATTAATGGTGTTAAGAAAAAGGAAACAAACTTGCAAGACGCATTCGTCTTGCGGGCCACCACTGTATTATTATTATTATTATTATTATTATTATTATTATTATTATTATTTTCCACTTATGAAGGAAAAAGTAATAGAGTTTTCTTAAGGACACCATTGGCCTGAGGGTGAAACCTGCCTTCTGACCTTAGTGACCCACATTGTATGATGTGATCTGCACTAACTCCACTGTGTCCCAGGGGGCAGCCTGTTTGACCCCTAAAGTATCTGTCATATGCCATCTTAGCATTGTTTTAAAAGGAAGCTTTTTAAAAGCAAAATTGTCCTAGAGATTGGAGGTGGGAGCTGCCTTGGTGATGTTAAAGGCGCTGGCCAATCGGTGTTGTGCAGTGCTCAGTTCTGCTGCTTGCCGAACCAAATAGGTTCCTGAACTCAACCCTGGAGTGAATGCAGGGCTGAATGCAGAGAACTCACTTCCAAACAGGCCCAACAGCTCTAAAACCCTCACCTTATTTGTCTTAAGCTGGAATCCCGGCAACAATAGCACAGCCAGCCAAGTGGCTGGTAGCATCGCAGCTTGCAACACACTGCTCCGTGGCATATCCAGGCACATGTCTCTTTTTCATTGATGTCTGTCTCAGACCTGAATTACCTTCCCTGTGGTTTAACAGTGACGTGTGCTGTCTATGCCACTGCCTGCTGTTCTCCACCCACACATTGCCTAAAGCAGATGGGGAGCAGTGATTGTGGGGGAAGGGCTGTAACTCAGAGGTAGAGCATCTGCTTTGCATGCAGAAGGTCCCAGGTTCAATCCCTGGTGGCATCTTCAGGTGAGGCTGGGAAAAACACTAGCCTGAAATCTTGGAGAGCTATTGCCAGTCAGCTTGGATAATAGAAGAAGAGTTTGGATTTGATATCCCGCTTTATCACTACCCTAAGGAGTCTCAAAGCGGCTAACAATCTTCTTTCCCTTCCTCCCCCACAACAAACACTCTGTGAGGTGAGTGGGGCTGAGAGACTTCAGAGAAGTGTGACTGGCCCAAGGTCACCCAGCAGCTGCATGTGGAGGAGCAGGGAATTGAACCTGGTTCACCAGATTATGAGTCTAGCACTCTTAACCACTACACCACACTGGCGCTCTCTGGATAATACGGAGCTCAATGGGCTTTTGGCCTGACTCAGCTACCTTTGTTCATAGGTACGGGGATGCATGGCAGAACAAAAGCGAGTGCCAAAACATCACACGCCGCTTCTGCAATCTCACGCTTGAAACGGAAAACTTCACCGAGTGCTACTATGCCAGAGTGAGAGCCACTGTCCCTAACTGTTGCGTCTCCGAATGGGCCGAGTCCTCAAGATTCTATCCCCGGGAAAACAGTAAGTGGCTAATATTGTAAACCGGGTTGGGGAACTTCTGGCCCAGCAGCCAAATGTCTACCAAATCACCTGTCCCTCAAAATTCTCTGCAAACCACACACCCTCTCCTTGAGTTGCCTTGAGTTCTACTTTAGTGGAAAAGTGGGAGACATTGTTAAAAAGTAAACAAGAAAATAAACTTCAACAGTTTGTAGGATGTCTCGCCACTATGGCACTATCATGGGGTAAGATGCATTTCTTGAAATTCTCCCTTCCATACAGTAGTTGAAAGCTGCAGGAGTAAGGTAAACATGTTTCCCAAAGACAGGCCTCATGTTTCTTTAAGAAAGCTGCCTCATTCAGCAGGTGCAGCTATTGCAGGTTGTGCGGTTGTTGCTGAACTACAGATCTCATCACCTGTGGCCATTGGCCACAGCAACAACTGGAGGGCCAAAGGTTCTGCACTCCTGTGTTTTGGTCCTCTTCACACTGCTCTGACACTCATCGCTTTCCCCAAAGAATCTGAGAACTGTAGTTTGTTAATGGCACTGGGCCAGTTCCCAACACCTTTAACAAACTGCAGTTCCCAGGATTCCTGGGGGAGAAGACAAGAGTGTTTACTCTTGGGTTGGTTGGGGAATTGTTTAGGGGGTGTTGTTGCTGTTATTGATATTAATTTTTAATTTATTTTATCTTAAGTTTATTTTAGATCTTACTATGATTTATGTGTATTTTTTTCAATTTGGTTGTGTATTTTTTGATGTTTTCTTTATGGCTGCTTTTGTTGTGCTGTAATTATGTATTTTTTCATGTTGTAAGCCGCCTTGATCATGGTTTGAACTGTGGAAAGGTGGCATACAAATAAAATTATTCATATACGTATGAATGTTTTAAATACATGGTGTAGACATCATGTGAGGGCCAAGGGTGCTAACAATGAGAAGTCAGTATTGAAGAAACTGAGCCAATTCTTTTTAAATGCCTCAGTTATCCAGTTCTCAAAACTACGATCACTAAACTCTTCAGTCTTAAACAAATCCCTTTTGCTTTCTCACTCTTGCTCTCTCTCTCTCTCCCCAAGCCATTATTGGGAGTCCTGAAGTGAAATACACACCCAGTGTTAATTCAATAAAGTTCTATGTACAACCTCCTGCTACCCCTCTGAGAGACAAGGAGAACCAGATCCTGACCGTCGTAGACATTTTCAGTCAAATTGGAACGACCTTTGAATACGAATTAACGATACATTGCCAAAAGACAAAGCAGGAGGTAAGGGGGGGGAGGTGTATGAGAGAAAATGGTAACTTTGGGGGGAAAGTACCCAATTCTTTGACTGTTGTTGTCTGTCTCAAGAGGCAATGGAATGCACTTCTGGGGGTGAAGTCAAACTGCTGCGTTAGCAACACCAAAGTGACCTCCCCACGGTACAAGCCTGAGCAGTGTGCCCAGGTGACAAAGTGTGGTCCAAAGGAAAGCAGAGCAATATGTTTAGTGCTAGCTTGTCTGCAGGAGTTGCTGGAAGGAGGTGTACAAGGCACCATCCAACTGTCTTAGGGACTCCACTCTGGATTTGTGTAGGGTTCCCTCCTTGGCCTTTTCTTCTCCCAAAGATATCCTGCAAGGCAGCAGAAGTTTAGGGTCAGAGTTTCCTTCTCCTAGGTGGGCTACCTTCCTACTGCATATTTCTTGAGAGTCAGTGGAGTGTTATTCCATACAGATTAAGGATGGGAAATAAATTCAATTCAGTTCCCATTTAAAGACAAACCTACCTCATTCACATTTTCCAAAATAATATGCAAACCAAAACACAGCCACCTTTCAATATTTGCACTTCTCTGAATGTTGCAATGCAGTTCTCCAGCCGTGTGATTTGTCAAAAAATGCACATACTGAAGTGTGCATAAAAATACATATATTGGTGAAAATAACATACAAATGTGCATTATGTTAGGGGAAATTGTTTTGCCAAAATGTGTGGATTAGGCAAAACGCATACAAAAATGTGTGGATAAGGCAAAACACATGCAAAAATGTGTGGATTAGGAGTAATTTGCACTGAAACATTTGTGAATTTTTACAAGGGCATTTTTTTAAGAATTTCAAACTTATGTGGAAACATGGAGAACTGAACTTCAGATTGAAGAAATGAGAAACTGAGGGTAACCAAAAGTTTCAGCTTCAGTCTTTAGCTCTCTCTGTGTTGTTATACATATTCATGCGGAAACACCCTTGTTTTATGAAGTGCCAGGACTAAGTTGCATGTTATGCTCAGTTCACAGCATGCAGCTACATCCTCTGCTTTTCCTGAGTGAATCAGAGGTGCAAGGATCTCTGATGGTCTGGAGAGGGCAGGTTTACCCCCAGCTGCCACCAGGAGTGGAAATCAGGGGATTGAAAACAGAAGACACAACTATATACTACACATTAAGCATAACATACAGTTTGGCCCTTAGTGGAGCTTTGAAAGTAGATAACACAAAGTACCACTTTCCCTACTTAAAATACAAATCTCTCTCTCTCTCTCTCTTTCTCTCTAGTGGGTCAAAGTAAACAACAACAATGAATTTGAAATCTCTGACTTGTATCCCAACACCGAATACAATGGCACAATACACATAAGATATTCAGACAAAATCAGCAAGCCTTATGTTTTTTGGGCAAAAACATTATCAGGTGAGACATTGTTATGAAATGTTGGCGGATCTTAAATACTGAAAACATTAGAGATGAAGCAGTCACCACAGGGAATTTTCCCATTGTGAACCTAGTGGCACAACTTGCATCACAAATGAATGTACCAGTCCCCAGTCTTGCCTGCCACAAATGAGTCTATGGAGCTCTTTGTCCTCCCCCCCCCCCATCTCAGTGTATTTATTTATTTTACACAGGTACATATATCTTTCCATGAATGTGAGTTAAGCCCTTATCTTAACAACAAGAAAACCACAAATATTTTGCAAACAATGAAACACTGCTTGAGGGATTTGGAATGGGTTGGTGATGTCACAAGTGCTAACCAAGAGGCATTAACGAAGAGGCACCCTTCACAGCAGGGTGACTAAATTACACCAGGCTGAAATCCTGCAGGAGACAAACCTTGTTCCACCACAAGAAACAGGGGACACCAGGAGCAGGAAGCAGATTCCGTCTCACAAATGTTGAGATCTGTTACCTGCCCTCATATAAATAAAGAGTTATGCTTCATTCCTGTTGGAAAGTGTTACACTTGTGGACACCACTGTAAAACTGCCCCCCCCCATTCCTGCCCCAGGTGCTCCAGGTTCTTTGAGTGTGTACAGAGGCCCTCTGGGCATCTTTGCCATTCATAGACTTTCTTTCTGCTCTCCACATTAAGGGCATTTTACTAGTTCAAAAAGTAAAGGGCCACATAGCTCAGTGGTAGAGCATCTTCTTTGAATGCAGAAGGTCTCATGTTTCACCCTCAGCATCTCCTAGTAAGGCTGTGAAAGAGCCCTGTCCGAAGCTCTGGAGAGGCACTACCAGCCAGTGTAGACAATACTAAGATAGACGGACCAATGTTCTGACTAAGGCAGCTTCCTTTGTCCCTATGGACATTCATCACTTCCCTTTACTTCGGCTGGAAAGATAATGATCCTTTATAAATGCTCAGACCAGTCCTTAGAACTCTTGAGCCAGAATTACTAGACGATGCATGCCATCTGTTCCTGCCCTCTCAACTCTCCTGGTCTTGCTATCTTTAACGGTTTGTTTTCTCTCTCCAGATACCACCTGGTTTGCATATTTGTTCGCGGTAGCTCTGTTTGCGGCACTGTTGATCTTTGGAACAATATATTACTTCATTTACAAGTATATTAAACAGCACACCGCACAGCAACCCACGTCTTTGGTATGTACTGTACCTCCCCCCCCCCTTTATGGAAGGTTGTTGGATTTTTTATTAATGAGCCTGGGCTTTTAATTGCTGGGCATTGTTCATACATAAAAGAGTAGTGCCTGAAGGGCAAGGAGAAGGCTGCAGCCCCCACCCAGGAATGCTGGAGAAATTGCTGCCCTGCCTGGGTTACTAATAGTTTGATTTCTCTTTTAGGAATTTCTTTGCAAGTGGAGAGACTTGGTGGAATGGTTACTCTTGTAAACAAAACATGGCAGTTCGTGGTGTTTACTAACCAGGAGTTCCCATATTTTGGCTTGGCTTAGTAGCCACCTGTGATTTTTGTGGTTGCCATTAATTTCTCTCAACCCCACAAGCGCATTGGCTTATACAGAGAACTCAGGAGGAGAGAGGGGATCCTTTTGCAGTGGGCTTTGGATAAAATAGAAGCAGTGCTTTCTACAAAGCCCATTATGAAAGGGGATAAGAACCCTCTCTCCCCTCCCTTAAATTCATGGAAGGTTCCCTGAGGGCAAAGCTGATTCTCACCCTGAAGTGAAAAACCTTTTCCTCTTAGAGGAAGGAGCATAACTTAGTGGTCAAACCTCTGCTTTGTGTGCAGAAGATGCCAGGTTCAATCCCTGGCTTCTCCAGGTAGCAGTGGGAAGGATCCCTGCCTGAAATCCTGGTAAGCTGCTGCCCATCCCTGTAGCCTGTCACATTTGACCTCAGGCCCAGGTGCCAACTGTGGCCCTCGAGTCCTCTCTATCTCGCCCTCAAAACTCTTCACAGGCCACCCCCCCTCTGACCAGGCCGCAGCCCTCACTCGATCTGCTTCACACACTCCTTGAATGTTTTTGCCCTGCTGGGATGTGACCTTGAACTCTAGTAATGTCTTGTGCCTGCCTGGATGGAAGTTAAAGAGGAGTGTGTGAGTCTCTGCAGAAATTAGTATACAAAAGTGAAATTTACATTCATTGCTCCGCCCACTTTTGCCTCTGACCCTGCCCACCATTGGCATGTGGCCCTTGGAAGGTTGCCCAGAACAAAATGTGGCCCTCAGGCTGATAGAGGTTCCCCTTACCCCTGCTGTAGTCAATACTGACCTAGATGAACCTATGGCCTGACTTGGTATAAGGCAACTTCCTATGTTCCATGCTGGCCCCATGGCAGAGAGTGAACTTGATTGCTTAATGGTGGGGACTTCCTGCTTCACCACTCGGTCCTTCCGCCACTCTGCTTCATTATCTCTCTAGCTGCCTATGTTTATGCTGATGCTTATCTCTGGCAACTAAATTTAATCCTTCTTCCCTGATAGGATTTCAAGGATATTTTACGCTCCCAACCTCTCGTGCCGAGAGTGGAATATATTCTGAACCCCTATGAATCGTGCAAGCCTGTCCAACTTACTATAGAGAAGCACCAGGCACAGATCACCCAACATCAGGGAGTGTTCAGCCTGACAGAAACAGCTTACCAGAAACAGGCCAACGCACCACTGTTCCAGACCATTGCTCAGCATGAAGGTTATACACCACAAATGACCAAGAACAACCCACCATGCACACAAGGTCCTTCGCCTTTAACATATGGAGTGTGTTTTGAAGGCACCAGCTCCACCAAAGCGAATTCTTCAGCAAATCAAGTGAGGAAGCTCGATTCTTTAGCTGAGGGCTCCTTGAGCAGCGAGCATTATAAAGCACAGCCGCCAGAACAGATCAAAAGAGAATTGTGGGGAAACAAGCCCCAACAGATGCCGGTGCCTGTGTTGGGAGATGCAGAGCGAACTCAATGTCTGTTGCTTCAGGAAGTCATGCAAGATATGCCTCAGTTGCTTCCACCCCTTCTGGAAGAGAAAGTACCTGCCACAAGAGGCAACAAGACAGGGAGCTACAGAGAGCAGCCTGCAGAATTGCTACCATCTGCGGTGGAATTCGACCAAAATGCCATCTCAGATGGCAATCTTCTGTCAAGCGTGCCACCATCCTTGTTTTCAAATCGCACCTGCAGCAGCATCATTCAAGATCAGAACCCTGGGCAGTGGGTGGCCTGGGATTTGACAGCCTGGACGAATCCCCAGCATCAGCCTTTGGGACTCCCTGTATCGGACTGCATAACTCAAGAGAGCAAGGGGTTGGAAAACAAGCCTGGGTTCATTGGTACAAACCCAGATACCTTAGACTCTGCCCACAGCAATGGGCTCTTCACAAGCCTGTTCAGAGACTTGGAGCTGAAGGTGCAGTGGGATCAGGCGTCTGAGGAATAATGGTTAATGGAGCGAGGGGAGGCGATAACACAAGGGAGGTGGAAATGTCTCCCTCCAAAACAGAGTTGAAAGGAAATGTCTTTTGCCAGCTGTTCCTGAATCCTCTTTGTGAATCACACTTCAGCCCATTAAAGGAAAACTAAATGTGGTTGATAGGTACCCTGCCAACTGGGTGGGTACTGCTGGCATGATTATTCCCAGGTGATTCTGTCCCTCACACATTGCTGGTTAGCTTGCACAAGGAATCCTGACAGTGCTGGTCCTATCTTGTGGCAGATACCCCAAACTTGAGTTGCCGGCTGATAGGGTGTGGGAGGAAACACACAGATTGGCCTGCCTTTATGTTAATTACAGTTTTGCCTGCAAGTCGGGAGGCGACCCTTTACATGGCCGGGCGATAAGAACGACCACCTGCTCATGTCAGCAAAAGAAGCTGCCGCTGTTGAGCAGGAACCACCAGTGTGGCGCCCGTGGGCACCAGGGTGCCCGTGAGTTCCTCTTATGATGCTCACGAAAGGTCTCAGTAAATTTCCACCAAACAAATCCACAGTGCTTGCAAGAGACTGCTTCTTCTTCTTGCTCTGTTCCTGTTTGCACTGACTTGGCCTCTCCTACATTGCACAGCGCCCTTAAATATGCTCACATTTCATTGGATGCCAGGGCTGGACACCTTCCTGCCCTCCCATTCTGAACAGATGATTGCTGCAAAGAGCTTCTCTCTGTGAGCAAGCATGGCAGTGGCTGATGTAGGTACCTTTTCCTCATGGATGACAGGACTGTTGATGGGGTGAATGCCTCCACCATTTTGTGGACCTGTCTCTTTTTCTGCTCTTTTAGATGTAAGCCATTTTGTGGCATGTCACATACCCACGGCGGCCATTTTCTGACTGGTGTCTGCTTCCTCAAAATTCCACATTTGCTCACTGGCTCCTAAAGGTTGGCCGCTCCTGAGTTAAAGGAACAGGAACAGAAGCAGCAGAGACATTGGTGACTCTTCCCCAGTTCTGTATTACATGGGGGGGGGGGCGAGAGAAGTATGTACTATCTTTGTACTTTACTAATAAATATTTTTATTATTAGTCTGACTTATTTTCAGTCTACAGAGAGCTAAGAATTGTATTTATAGTTCAAAATAGCCTATACCCTTTGAGGAGTTGTCTGTGTTCCAAACTTCACAGCTAACTTGATCCTGCAAAATGCACTGAACCAAACAACCAGGTCCAAACACAATGGAATGTAAGGAAAGCTTTATTAATAAATTGCCTGAGGCAATGGTTCCATAATTCCATGGAAGGGTGTATACACTCAGATGATTAATTTTCTGGAGCCAAGTATAAAAACATTAAAAGAGCTCTTAAAGGAAGGAAGAATTACAGCCAGCTAAGTTCTACTCAGGGCAGACCCATTTAAATTGCTCAGCCTAAATTAGCCATGTCCATTAATTTTAATGGATCTACTCTGAGTATTGCTAACAATAGATGTAGCACAAGGTAATTTTAAGCTGTTTTAGTATTTTAACTTTTGTATGTTTTAAAATGGGGTTGTAAATATTTCTTGATTTTTCTGTTCTGTCTTTTGTAAACTACTTTGAGATTATTATTTTTACAATCAAGCAGTGTATAAATTTTTATGAAATAAAAAGTAAATAAAATACATCAACATTGTCATAGGATGGAATGGGTCTACTTTTTTGACATTGTTCTGATGTCAGAGAGGAAAATCCTCTTTGTCATTTTGGGAGCATCATGAAGCATCTGACATCAGACCTGCAACGTCCCTAGGGCTCCAAATGCCCCCATTTCAGAAACAGGGAGAGGATTTGAACGTGCGCTTCAGAGCTTGCCTAAATCTTCCCTTCCCTTTTACCTCTCATTGTTTCCAATGGAGAATAAAACATGCAAAAAAAATGCACACCACTCCACTTTTGTTTTAACTAGCAAACAGATGAAGCAATGCAAGAGAGTTCTTCCATCCTCACTTCCACCTCAAGCCGAGTAGGGTGTAGGCAGCGGCTGACTTTGGTGGTACGGTGCCCTGAGCAAGGACAAAATTCCCACCTCCCAATATTTATTATTTTCACAAAAATAATTCCTTTCAGTACAGTTGCTTTTTAATGGATCTTCTCAGGAGGTATCCATATAAATATAGGTTAAAAAAATATTATTATTATTACTATTATTTTGCGCCCCCTCAGCTTGGCGCCCTCTGCAGGGGAACTGGCCACACAGCTCTAAATCTGGTGCTGGCACAATGGAACCTCAGTTTTCAAACATCTCCATTGACGAATGTTTCAGCCTCCAAATGCTGAAAACTCGGAAGTAACTGCTTCGGTTTTCGAATGATTTTTCGGAAACCGAAAGTGCCACGTGGCTTCCATTTTGAGTTTCCCTATTGTATTGAGGCTTCCGCTTTCAGATTTCGGTTTTTGAATATTTCAGAAGTCGAACGGTCTGCCGGAACTGATTACGTTCAAAAACCCGAGGTTCCACTGTATAGAATAAAGTGGTAAAACTGCCTTTCTGTTTCACCATCCTTTGATTTTCCCAACAAAAGCACAACCCTTTTGCTCACTCTAGGTGAGCACCTGGAACCCCCTGGAATCTTGTTACTGCTCAGCAGTAGGGTGAGGTGGCATGCAACCTTTGCAGTACTCTTATCCTGCCAACATCTAAAGCATATTTGGCAAAAACTCAAAAGTAGCAGCAGGGGGAGAGAATTGCTACCATTCACATTTAAATCTTAATCTTAATCTCAGTTTGCTTGTTACCTCCGGTTACAAACTTAATTTGTTCCGCAGGTCCGTTCTTAACCTGAAATCATTCTTAACCTGAGGTACCACTTTAGCTAATGGGGCCTCCGACTGCCGCCGCACCACCACCACATGATTTCTGTTCTCATCCTGGGGCAAAGTTCTTAACCCGAGGTACTACTTCCAGATTAGTGGAATTTGTAACCCAAAGTGTTTGTAACCCGAGGTACCACTGTATAGGAAGAAAAATGCCAACATCCTTTGAAATTTTGCAGTAGTGGCAGACTGTAAAATTTCACTGAAGCCCTGTGAGACACAAAATCCATCGCTCCCTCCCCGCCCCCTCACCTTCCATGGGATGTTATACTTGTGATACCTCCTGCAGCGCCTAATAAGCTCCTCACCGCTTGCGCTCCCCTTTGTTTGCAGTGTGGTTCTCCAGCCAAGTAATTTGTAAGAAAATGCATAAACTAGGGTAAAATATGCGTATAAACACATAGAAATGACATAGAAAAATGCATTCTTAGGGGGAATTTGCACTAAAATGCAGGTGAATTTTCAGGAGGACTAAAAAAAAAAACCAACCACAACAACACACTCTCATGTGAAAAATGTAGAGAACTGAACTAAAATTGGACAAATGAGAAACCAAAATGGCCACGTCCATCCCTGTTCAAGAGAACTGGAACTCTTTGCTAGGAAGTCCATATGGTGACCTGGCAGCAGGTACAGTAAATGGGTTTTTATTCAGACAGAACTTTGCCCTGATAAGTTGATTTGTCTGTGGCTGGTATGTTGTAATTCGTTCATCTGGCTGCTGTCCTTATTGATTTTAGCCGCATGTTTCATCTGCCGTTTTTGTTCCTTTTTCATTACTGTTTTGCTTTTCCCTTTTCTTACTGTTTGGTAGCTGCCTTGAGCACTCTTTGGTTGAAAGGAGGGGTCCAAATTTCACAATAAACATCGAATAAATCAATATTTATGTACAGTTTTCCTGTGAGTTAGGGAGAGCTATGAAAATGAACATTCTGGACGTGGTTCAAAAAGTCTCTTCAGTAGGCGAGAAGGCCTTCTCAGCTTGCTGGAGCATGCTTTAACATCTACGAGATACAAATATATGAACCACCTAGAGGTTATAAAACATGCCCCATTAAGTATGAGTCAGATATTGCACCTCATATGGGGCCACTCCCAAGTGAAAGAACATCACATCACTAACATGCCTTAAAGCAGGGGTTGCCAAATGTTTGGGGCCCATGGGTACATTTGCAAACTGAAGGAACACAAGCTGCAATTATACTTGAAATAAGCCTTAACCAAAGTAGAACACTTCTTCCAAGCCTAGTCTCAGCAAGGGAGGGTGGGGAACAGGACCCTGCAGAGAAGGCCTCTGTTTGCAACTTATGACCTAAAGCAGTGTGTGAAAATAAATAATATTTGCTACATAGATATCTAGTAAATAGCAGGTCACAGCCACAACTTATATTTCAAGCACATTTAATGCACATGGCTTCACCACAAATAATCTTTGCAACTACAGTTAACAAAACTACAGTTCCTTTCCTTCCTTCCTTCCTTCCTTCCTTCCTTCCTTCCTTCCTTCCTTCTTTCAAGTCACCATGTGCTTTAAAAGTGTGCTAAGTGCACTTTAGATATACAGTAGTACCTTGGGTTAAGTACTTAATTCGTTCCAGAGGTCCGTTCTTAACCTGAAACTGTTCTTAACCTGAAGCACCACTTTAGCTAATGGGGCCTCCTGCTGCTGCTGGACCACAGGAGCATGATTTCTGTTCTCATCCTGAAGCAAAGTTCTTAACCAGAGGTACTATTTCTAGGTTAGCAGAGTCTGTAACCTGAAGCCTATGTAACCTGAAGCGTATGTAACCCGAGGTACCACTGTATGGGTATGGCTCAACCCCAACGGGCATATAAACGCATATATTAGTGAAAGTAACATACCAAAACACATTACATTGGGGAAAATTGCTTGCACAAATGTAAGCCCTGGTCAAAACTACACACAAAAATGTGCTTATTTGAATAAATTTGCACAAAAATGTTGATGAATTTCCACAAGGACTCTTTAAAAAAAAATCACAAACATGTGGGAATGTAGAGAACTGACTGGAAAAATGAGAAAGTGGGAGAAACTGAAATCCACACATCCCTCGACAAGAGAGAGGCTGAGTGGTCGTGACCCTAAAGGAAGGGGCATGTGCCGCCGTCTGAAGCTTGGGGAAACGTTTAGTGGGATCATCATCAGTCCATTTCCTCCTTCCCTGACCCTGGGCAAGCAGCTGCAGATGTTGCTGACAGCCCAGCCGGCCACCTGTTGGTTTCCATGCAAGGACGGGGCTTTAAAGGGTGCAGGCTGCCCTGCCAGGGGCCGCGTTCCAAGCTCTTGATGCGGGATGCTTTTCTGAGCAATAGCCCGGGGATCCCATGTCAGCAGCATGCCAGGTGATGCCACTCAGCCAGTGATTAAATGCCACGGCGGAGCCTGTTCCTGCTCACTTTTTAAAAAGGAAACCTCACACACAGAACCATCAATGGGGACACCACTGGACCAAAGGCGGGGAGGCCTTCCATTTGAAGGAGTGATACAAAATGGAGAGTTCACTGGTGGGCCCACCTTTGAATTAGGTATTATCAGGGACTCCAGCAAACCTTTCTTTCTTTCTTTGTTTGTTTGTTTGTTTCAACCCAGGCCACCCTCCAGAATTATGAAAGGTGAAGGCTTCTGGTTCAGGCGTGGCTGTCCTTTTTTCTTTGTTTTCTTATAAATTTGCGGGCCTTGAGTCTCTACAGCTGACACCATGTCATGCAAGGCTTAGTGATAAGGAGTCTTTGGCCCTCCATAGGTTATGGACTACAACTCCCATCAGCCCTTCTCTTAGAATCATAAAATCATAGAGTTGAAAAAGATCCTGAAAGAGCAACCAGTCCAACCTCATGGTTGGCAATCCAGACTCCTCTTAAAAAACCTCTACAGTGGTACCTCGGGTTACATACGCTTCAGGTTACAGACTCTGCTAACCCAGAAATAGTGCTTCAGGTTAAGAACTTTGCTTCAGGATGAGAACTTTGCTTCAGGATGAGAACAGAAATTGTGCTCCGGCGGCACGGCAGCAGCAAGAGGCCCTGTTAGCTAAAGTGGTGCTTCAGGTTAAGAACAGTTTCAGGTTAAGTACGGACCTCCAGAACGAATTAAGTACTTAACCCGAGGTACCACTGTAATGAGTCCACAACCTTCCGGGGCAGGTCCAGTCATTCGGATATTTAAAGAAGGACAACAGGAAACTCCTGACTCCCCCCAGATACAACGAGGTC